GGGGTTTCACCGTGTTGACCAGGATGGTCTCGATCTCTTGACCTCGTGATCCACCCGCCTCGGCCTCCCACAGTGCTGGGATTACAGGCTTGAGCCACCGCGCCTGGCCTATTTTTCTTTTGTCAATGGCCATTAAACTCTAGCAAGGGTCCAGGGTTGACATCAGAAAGTGAAGGAAAGGGAAGAGAAGATATGAGAGCAATCTATATTGAACGCCTGATTAGTGTTGGCTATTTCTTATTCATCATTTTATTACAATATCCTCTTGAATTGGGAATTGTTATACTTGCTTTAGGTCTGCAAAATTAAATCATTTACCCAGACCTCATAATAAATCAGTGGTGGAATCAGGATTCAAATTCAAGTCTGACTCCATGCCTTGTCTGCTGCTGTATACTCTGAGTACTTACTCTTTGACTCATGAGGAAATACTTCCTTAATTGCAAAATGGGAATTTTACATTAAACCACGTTTTTTCCATTTGCAATAGAGTTACCAGAAGGCTCAAATAGAAACAAGCATGTACTAAAAAATTCTTTCAAAAGGCTTTGGACTTAGCAGTGAAGAAAACGTTCTGTTCTCAAGGGTTTTGCAGTCTGGTGCAGGAGTCATGATGACTTTCCCCTCTTACCAGATCTTCATTAGAAAGTATAATATGGGGTTCAGTTGTCTCTCTATTTATCTGTCTGTGCTCTGTGATTTGCTCTTCCTGGAAACTGGATACTTGGTGGGAGAGAACTGTTCATGAGACAGGCAATAGGGCGAGGAGGGGAAGAAATGCACCATGGCCTTCAGAAACAAGAGACCTTGAGGAGACATTCCCAAAGGTAATATGGTTCAATTCATCTTGAAGATACCAAAGTAACATGAAAGCAGGAACAACAAAACCAGTTAGGTGCCAACTGATAAGGAAATTTTTAAGCTCCATTGTTCCGGTCTGAGCAAGAAGGAAGACACTCTAAGGGGGTAAAATTCTGAAAAGAGAAGCTCATTTCTCAAACTTCCTTCCCTTGGCAGATTGGAGAGTGAGTTTTGCCTTACACGATACTCCCTGCTTAGTAAGGTGATCAGTCCTTCATATTAAAAGAAAAAAAAGACCAATTTGTACAATTCACAGAGCTCCCCAGATACAGTCTTTGACACAGAGGAAAAGGTGGGATTGGTGGGAGCAAAAACAAGAGGGAAATGATGGCAAGCCCAGGCCTGAATGCAGAGAGTACTGGGGTGGAATGAAATAAACTCAAGACTCCTGGGACCTGAGATTCTATAAGTTGTGACATTAGAGAATAGCAAGAGACTGCTGAGTGCTAAGGAATGGATTGAAAGTGGAAGAAGGGGATAGGAAGAAAGAACATGGAATTGCTGGAAACTAATTTCACCACAATTGTAGTTTTTCCTGTGTGCCTGGTGGTACCTACCTTCTATATGCTCTCTATTTGTGGGTATAAGTTGCATTTAATAATGGTGCCTATTAGGATATGTTGATATGGGAAGAAAGTGGACTAAAACAAGAACTCCTCTCACTCAGATCTACATACTCAGGGACACCTGGAGTCTCCTAGTGACCTTTCTGAAGGCGTCTTTTACATCCTTGTTTCTTAAGCTGTAGATCAGAGGGTTCAGCATGGGGATGATCACTGTGTAAAAGACAGATACGACCTTGTCTTCCTCCAGGGATTTGCCCGAGCCACTTCGCAGATACATGAAGATAAGGGTCCCAAAGAAAAGGGCCACAGCAGTGATGTGGGAGGCACACGTGGAGAAAGTCTTGACCCCGCCACCTGAAGACTTCACTTTCAAAATTGTCTTGAGGATGAGCAGATAGGAAATCAGGATGATCGAGGCATTGGCCAAAATCACAAAATTGCCAAAGAAGATGATGACAATCTCTATGTTTGCTGTGTCACTGCAGGCAAGCTTCAGCAGGGGTGGGAGGTCACAGAAGTAGAAGTTGATTTGATTGTCATCACAGAAGGAGAGGGTGAAGGTGCACGTGGTACGCAGGATGGCCCCTGACACCCCACAGACATAAGCTCCTACCACCAGGCTCCAGCAGAGTCTGGGACTCATGGCCACGGTATAGAGCAGTGGGTTGCGAATGGCAACACAGCGGTCATAGGCCATCACTGCCAGCAGGAAGCACTCTGTACCTGCACAGATGGTGAACAAAAAGAACTGGGCAGTGCAGCGGCCATAGGAGATGGCCATTTTGCCTGTGGCCAATGTGGCTAGGACCTGAGGGGTGATGACTGAGGTGTAACAGGCATCCAGCAGGGAGAGGTGGCTCAGGAAGAAGTACATTGGGGTGTGGAGTTTGACATCTACTTGGATTAAAATAATCATCCCCACATTCCCAAGAAGGGTGACTAGGTAGAAACTCATAAACACCAGGAAGAGGGGAATCTCCAATTTGGGGTGGTCTGTAAAGCCCACGAGAATGAATTCAGTTACTGTGGTGAGATTATTCTTGGCCATGGAGACAATGTGGACCGTTGGTCTGAGGATGAGAATGAAATAAAAAGAATTTCAGAATTGAAGGACAGAGTCTTTCCCTCTGTAGTAGACGTTTTGATTTATAATTCTGGGCTTATTTTTAGAGCTTATTTTTAAGCAATTCTGAAACTGGCTGATTTTCCTTGGACATCTCTTGCATTTTATGGAACTGAGCCTTAAGCTGGTATTTCTGATTCAAATTAATTCGAGTTTACATTTGGAAATTTCTGTGAAGATAAGAGGCACACAGTTCTCAGGTTTGGAAGAGACCTAGACAGCATCTGCTCGAATCCCATCTGGGGCTGGAGTCTCACTTACCACATGCCCACCACACGGTCACTCAGTTGCCATATGAGCTTCCATCTGCGAACAATTCCACCTGTTGATTCTCTTTGTGGACCTGGGCTCTCTCCTTCTGTACCTTTCACACACTAGTCTTGGTTTTACCCCTTCTAGACACTCACAGCAATTTTAATCACTTCTCCTTATGAAAGCCTTTCACAATTTGAAAGCTTACGTCTTCAACATATTGCATTCTAAAGTTGTTTGGTTGTTTATACACGAGGATTATAAATAATATGTTCAAACTCGTGGGCTCACTACCTTTATATGACCTTGGGTAAGTTACCTAACATCTTTGTGCCTCAATTCATTATTCATAACAGAAATATGCCTATGTCATAGGGCTCTTTTAATTTTTTTAAGGAAGAGCACATAGATTTATTATCTTTGTTTTGAATTTGAATATAACTTTATTTTTTATTTTGATAGGTTTTTGAAAAACAGATGATATTTGATTACATGAGTGAGTTCTTTAGAGGTAATTTGTGAGATTTGGGTACATCCATCACCTGAGCAGTATACGCTGAACTCAATTTGTAGACTTTTAAGTATTAAATAAGTTAATACCTGTAACTGATGTAGATCAGTGCCCGGCACATAGAGCTAAATAATGTTGGCTGTTTTTGTCGTTACTATTATCATCAATTTTAGATAGTAGCTATTGATTTTCTGTTCTGAAACAGAATCCATTTACCCCACATAAACTTTGTTACTATTGCGATCTTTGAGCAATATATTTGTATCTTTAGTTCAATACTATATATAAGTTATGTTTTTCACTAATTGACTAAGTTTGACTCTCACTAAGTAAGATGAAGAAATTATTCCCTTGTTCTTTCCTCTCTCCTCCCTTCTATCCCATTAACAAAAAAATCAGTCTTTTATCCCAGTCATATGGCAATGCTTGCTAATTTAAGTCTTCTCTATATTTTGATGATGGGTTGATTCTACTATCAGTAGATTGTGTTTCTCTATTATGATTATGTGCATGCCATACACAAAAAGACTACATATTGTGACTGGATACACAGAAGAGGAGATGTCGCTAAACTCCTGCTTCTAGGAGAAGCTTTCAAACATCAAGTCAAATGAGTGCTCCTTTCTTTTGCTCTACCAAACTGCTTAAAATAATTATGTTTAGTTTGCTTTATATTTGAGTCATGGAAATTTTTCATTTCCTAAGATTTCCTCTTGCCATGTGATACAGAGCTGAGTCACCTCATATACTGCATAATACCATGTTCCAAGTCCATTTAGGATACTCATTAAAATGCCTAAAAGCTTCCTGGGGGCCTTTGCATGGAAGCCCAGGTCCCCATCTCTCTATTTTTTTTTCTGAAGGTATCTCTACACTCCCAGGATATTCCACATACAACACCTTATGGAAATCTGTCAACAATCCTACTGGAGAGGTGACATTAATCTTGTTTGTGGTTGAGAAATGGAGATTAGAGACATGAAACTATCTGTTGACCCACATTGTAGAGGAGCCAGGATCCAGACCCAAGATCCTAATTCCATTATCCTACACTGCTCCCCTTGAACCATTTACCTGACCTCCCTAATCTCACACCCCGAATTCCCTCAGGTTGGAATCGTCAATTCAGAGTTCTTGAATCTAGAACTATGTTTGATAAAGTGATGAATATAAAACTTAGATTGTTAGGAAACTTTTCCATGTAGCACAACTAGGAATTTTCTTTGCTATGGCAACATGGACATCGCTATTTTTGATAAAATCCATAGCAATAAGAATGCATTATAATGCCTTTTTCTACTTCCTTTCATACATTTTATATCCATAAATGTCTGTGATTGCCTCCACACCCCTGTGAAGTGGGCACGATTGATACTGTCATTATTTTGGCATTGAGAAAACTGACAGAGAGGTTTATGACTTGCCCAAAAGTCAAATAATTAGTTATTTGCAGACTTGGGGATAACAGGCAGGTCCTCTGGCTTCCATGGGATCCCTCTTTTGCTTCCCTTTCACCTAAGGTTTAATTCCACTGGGACCTGCCAGGAAGAGGTTTTGAACTTGTGATGAGTCCCCGCCTACAGAATCATTGTGATTGCTTTATTCACTACATGGGTAGAGAGAGACAAGCAGCCCACACTGTCATGAAAGGGCTCATTGTAGCTGTTCTTGGGTCTGGAGCTTATTTCAGCTCTAATCAGGGTCCTAGAGGGAGAGAGACATTGACAGATCAAGTCAAGCATGTTGAAGGGCTATTCTGTCCACCTTGCTCCAGCAGCAGGGGCTGGGGACGAGTCAGCTTCTTTGGAAGGCCTTCATGGTATGGTTTAAGCTCTATGGTTGTCACCTCTATGACAGCTGCTCACTAGCTGAGTAACCCTCAAAAGTTTATTTTCCCTTCAACTTGGGCTTCACTTTCTCTTCTACAAAATGGTAGAGCTAGATTATATGACCACTAAATCTTTTGTTTCTCACAATCCATGATTTATATGTCTAGCTATATAGGCTCATTAGCTACTAAATACTGAGTATATAAAGCAATGCAGGCACTAATTCAAGTAATTTATAGTTACTTAAATATAATATTATGGGATCTTGGGTAAAAAATTAAATGACCCTTACTCCTCAGTTCCTGATAAACCATCATCATTGGTCAGGGCAAGGGTCTTTTTCATTTTATTTTATTTTATGATTTTTGATAGTCCTGTCCCATCCCTACTCCTTCCCCTGCTTCTCTTAAGTGTGCACTCTAGTGTATTCAAATATATATCCTTCCTTGTTTCTTCTTTTCATATGTATTTAGAAATATATGTATGTTAAAAATGTAGTGGCTGTGGCATGTTTTAAAATTTGTGTGCATGATATTGTGACATAAATCCCATTTTTTTAAGCATACACTATATTTTCATTATTTGTTTATGAATTTTGGTAAATTTAGTTTGTTTGTTTCTGATTTTGTTATGGTCTTCCTTGGTATGCTTATAACATATTTTATTTATTGATTCCACTAGAGACTGTGAGTGCTTCACATATATTATTTAATCCTGAAAACAGCCCTTTAAGCAGACATTAGGATCTTATTTTTACCAATGAGGACTTTAAATCTCTGAGAGATTACTTTGTCTAAAATTACCTCCTGGTGAAAGTAGAAGCAGAAGAGTTAGTTGGTGGGAAATCCTCTGCTTTTAACTAGAAATTTGTTTTGTTGTCTCCCTACATCTTTCTTATATCTTTATAATCTATGGAACCAAAGAAATCTCCCTGCAGTTAATCAGGTCTTTTTTAACTTTCAAATCCTGAGATAACTTGGTTATTTCAACACCTTTCTCAGCATCTAATTCTGAAATTGTTATAGTCCATCTTATGTCTAGCTATGGCTATTTCCTGATTAGAGACAATCGTTCAAGGCTCCTGACCAGAGATTAGGTGGCAGATTGTTGGGGTGCAGATGCAATCACACTGAGTTTGTGGTACATGAATGTGAGGCCTGTTTTATACATTAGCTTTAGTCTTTCCTGCAGCCCTCCAAATAGCTACAGCTATTTTATGGATGAACAAAGTGGAATTCAGAGAGGTTAAGAGAGTTGTCCAACTTGTTATACACCTGGGAAGGAACAGAACAGATATTTGAACCTAGGACTTTCTAACTCCAAATTCTATATTCTTTCCATCATATCATGCTCTCTTCTTAGGGGAAGAGAAAGACCCTTTCTTAAGACCCAAGCCCCAAACTTTTAAAATCAAAGTGCCTCTCTGAAACCATTAGGCAAATACTCAACTTCTATGGGAGTAAATTATAAAGATTGATTTTGGGGTACTTTGTGGACCATGTTTTTTCTTCTTTTACTTTCTTTATAACTTGAGAGAGACTTAGTTGGATCATGTCCTTCTCAATATGCTCTTGGAAAATGGCTCAACCACTTGGAACCTCAATTTTTTCAATAATAAAATGACAACATAATAACAATTTTTGAAAACTTAGAATGATTTTTATCTATTATGATAGAGTTTGCTTATTTTCCAGAAAGGCAATTTTCAAAATATTTCCCAGAGGGAAAAATTTTAGGACCAGACTGGTGACACCCAGTTTTGTGTGATCTTGTTTAAGAAGGAGATTGGGGTAACATCAGCTTGGGTAAGTTCCAGAGTAGAGAGACAGACAAGTGACTCTCTGAACCCAGGGCAGTTTACAAAAGGGAAAGCAATGGTTTATGGCCAGTGATCCTTTTAAGAAAGATGAGGAACACTATGGATTGATATTATTACCTGCAATATATTTAAATTATGATATGTGACATAGAATATATGACCTTATGTGACCTCTGGATGGCATAGGGAAAGTTTCCTCTGATTCAGGAGGAACTCTTTACAGAAGAGATGGTCCCTAACCCTCGTACTTTCTTTCACTTAGAACCTTCTCCAAACTCTTCTTCATTTTGCCTCCAAAGATTGAGCTCCTTGGGAGAGTGAAGGAGCTCGACCAAGTTAACGTTTCTTACCTTACTGAAATCACTGTCTCAAAATATTGTTGTTAAATTAACATTTACCAAGCTCAAGTCAGGTAGATGCTAAGCACTTTAAAGGTTTGTATTTCCTTTCAACCTGACAATGACATTATGAGAGAGAAACATTTATCTTTATTTTACAGATGAGGAAATGAAGG